TGTAGATGCCATATGGCCAGGAGGATACTGTGGGGACAGTCGATGGACATGAATATGTACAGAACCTTCTGGTAACAGAATTGCATCAACTTTGTGTTTCCTGCCTTGCTAACTGTCACACATGAGCTTATCCTTTTCTTAGGAGATGCACCTGCAGTGTCAGGGGGCAAAGGGCCATCACGACTGCATGACAGAGTGTGGCTCCTGAGAACAAATGGGGCAAAATGGTAACAATGGCTGAATCTGAAGGAAGGGCATTCAGGCATTCTTTGTATAAGTCCTGCAACTTTTCTGAAAGTTTGAAATTATCTTCAAGTAGAAAACTTAAAAAAAAAAAAAAAAAAAAAAAAGAGGCCCCGGTGGTCAGAGTTTGTACTCTAGGGTTCACCCATATGTTTCTTAATCCACAGAGGCTTTTAAAAAAATGGGAATTTCCTGCCAACAGTTAAACATGCAAAAAATATGGGTTGGTCCTAGATTTGGAGATGGTCCATGCAAATCTGGGTTCAGGCTCCCCTTGCACAGTGAACATGGCAGCCGTACCAGGGCTAGGGCACCTCTGTGGGCAGCAGTGAGAAGCAGTCACTCTTGGTTTGGTGCCCATGCTCTCCCTGCCCGACCCCGTGCATATGGGGCCTCGTGACTCCTGAATATTGTCCTCTGGCTGGCCGGAGGCTACCTCCGTCACGGGCCTGTGTCTCCCTATCCATCCTAGGAGATGAGCTCCAGGCTTCTTGGTTTTTCTTTATGCCTTCAGCACTGGGGACCCCTGAGTCTTTCTGAAGGCTGGTCTGTCCCCATTTGTCAGACAGGGAGACTGAGGACTGGAGGGGCAGAGGTCACAGCTGGAGCCAACAGAGGTCTGGAACCTGGGTGTTCTGCTTCCAAATGCTATGTTTGTTCCACACCACATGGCACCTCACAGCAGTACCATTTACAAAGGACGGCACATGCATCCATGCATGTGGTCCCCACAACAGCCCTGTGGGGTAGGCGGGAGGAAGGGCCCCCCAGCGACTCCCCAATGGCACAGACATCGGCATGGGGGCTAATGGACCTGTCCGGGGCTCCAGGCTGGGCATGGCTGGGCCAGCTGACCCAGCACTAGAGTGTTCTCTGCCTTCCTGTAGGCTAAACCAGTGTGCCAGACACCACGAGGGGGTTCCTGAACCACCATGAGGTCCATGCAGGTGCCCCTAGCCAGATCCCTCTGTCTCTCCCGGGGATCCTTCATATGGAAGGCCCAGCAAGCCCTCCCAGCACAGGGAAAGCATCTGAGGTGTCCGTCATGCCCAGAAACGAGCATCCAGAGGGTGGTCATCCAGAGTTCAGAGCACCAGGGAAGAGAACAATCAAGGAAAATGCCCTGGAGGAAGTAGGCTCATGCAGGCTGAAGGTGGGGAGGAGGTGGGGGAGAGCTCAGAGAGCAGGAGAGGGGAAAGGTTCAAGATGAGAGAAGAGAGGGGCAAACAGATGCTTTGACACAACCTCATGAGCTGGGGTCACCTTGTTCGACAAGTGAGGAAGTAGAGGCACAGACAGGGTAAGAAGCTTGTCCAGGGTCTTCCAGCAAATGACAGCAGTAGGGATTTGAACCCAGACCTTTCACCCCCCAGGTCCAGGGTCCATCTGAGGAACGTGGAGGGGAACCAACCTGCTGTGGGCACCCACCTGGCAGCACTGGGCCAGGTAGGGGCTTCACCTACACCATATACCAGGGGAGCCCTACTGTCCTCACAGGTCAAGACAAGGGGCATAAAAGCCCAGGGCCACAGAGTGAGTTCATTCCAAAGCCCAGATCTGCCTCAGTCCAGCCCAACCCAGCCTTTTCTACAATAGCCTTGCCTCCTTCCTCTCTCTGACAGACAATGCTTGAGCCCCAGGGAAGAAGCTGGCCATGACCTCCCAGTAGCTTCATGCTCAGGGCTCCCCGCTGCTGCACAGGTCTGGGTGAGAGGATCCATGTAGAAATCACAAGTGTGATGGCATCTGTCCATCTGTACAGGGCCAAGGATGGATGGGCCCACACAATGAGACCATTAGATCTCTGTAGGAGGCAGGGCTAGATGAATTTTACTCCTTAATTTATCTGAGATGGTGTGCACTGAGCAAAATCAGTCAGCATCATGGCGCTGTGCTCCAATGGGCCAAGCACAGTGTCGGTGTCATGGGTGAAATGTGAGTCCCAAGCCATCTGGGGGGTGACTTCCCAATGCCAGAGATGGGCAGAGAAGGCTTCTTGGAGGAGGTGAGGCCAGAGCAAAGGGACAGGAGTTAAATGTGTAGCCAGGAAAGGGAGAGGGCCATCTAGGAAGAGGGAGCACCTCAGCAGGGGATGGCAAAGTGACCAGGGCAAGTGTGTGTGCAGCAGAGGTACAGGCTGAGGGTGAGTGTGATGGACCTGTGACTTGCGTGCCTAGGAGGGCACTGAATGCAGTGGCTGTTCAGTGCCTGGGCCTACTCTATCACTCCCCCAGCACCCCACAGCCTGTGGAAGCCCTGCTCACACACAGTCAGTAACCAGGAACTCACTAGCTTTCAGGCAGCCTCTTTTGTCCTAGAATGGTTCTGACATACAGAATTCTTCTCTTTCCAATCACACTGCCTTCTGTTGGGGTGGCTACACCTCTTTCTCTGCCCACCCTTCCTTCCTCTCCCTGTGAACCTGGCCTAAGCCACTTGCCCCTCCCAGCCCCATGCAATGGGGTTTCTGAACACCAGCTCACAGTTCACAGCCAGGGGTCACTTTCTTCAGCCTAGCTCACCCTGCATTCTGGTGAGCTTGGTGGGTCCTACCTCTTGCTTTCTTTTTGCCACCCTCCCTGCACTCATGGTCTCCGCAAAGGTAGTGGGCACACTTTCCATAATGAAACAGGATAGAGCTCTAGGGAAGGCGACTGGATTACCAGCAGTTCAAGAATCAGCAAAAACCCATCAGAATCTCCTGGCCTCTAGTGCATCCTGCCCTATCTTGCCCACAGGGACATCGCAGGAGACCTTGGCTGCCCTCTCCTGACATCCAGAGGCCCAGGGTCTACACTATTTACCTGGGCTTCCAGCTAGTAGTACAGGTAAAAACCAAAAAAGTTGGTGTGTCTTGGGCTGGCTAGCTGGCTTCCCATCCATCTCTGCCCAGTCTAAGTCTTTTCCAGAGTGCCCCTGCACCTGTGCCCATCTCCTTGGCTGGTTTATGATACAAATCAGTGATTCTGAACATTTTTTTCCCCTCAGCCTCCTGCAAGGTAACAACTATGCTCTTCTCCCTTCTCTAAACTGTATGGAACCTTTGTCATCCATCCATTTAGGCTCAGTGCCTCCACCTGACTTCCAGTGATCCAGACGACCCAGCAGGCTACTTCTCCCAGGGATGATAGCCTCTCTGCCAACCACTTCAGCTTAGAGGTCAGAACCAGGGCCATAGGGCCATGTCCATTTACATAACCCTTATGTGGCCCTAAGTTCCAAGAAGGCATTTGAAGCCTTCTATGATCCCTTGGGCCCCAGGGCCTTTGCACTTGCTGTCCCTTCACCTAGAATGTTCTTTCTTCTCATTGTGCTGGTTTCAGCTCAAATGCAACCTCCTCAGACAGGCCTTCCCTGACCACCATGATTCCTGTCCCCTTCCTCAGAGTCTCTATTTCATTACAATGGTATAATGTCTTCATCCATCCTACTCTGCAGACCCGTTGATCTTTCTCTTTGTATTGCGAGGACATCCCATATTCCTTCAGAACTCTGTGTCTTTGCACACGTTTGCCTCGGCTAAGAGGCCCTTATCCACAGCTCTGGTAAGCTCCTACTTGCCCTTTAAAACCCAGTTCAATTCCACTTGGAGTAGTTCTGTTCCTTTCTTGGCTTTCTCTCATCTTCCTTGCTCCTCTACTGTGGAATTAGCTGTTTGTTCAAAGATCTGTTCCCCTCAGCCTCCGTGGGCTGGGGGCTCTTCGGGCAAGGGAAGGCTCTGAATCATCATGGGTTCAGTGCTCAGCGCCGGACCTGGACCAGTGCAGCTGCCTGGAGGACGTTTGCTGAGGAGTGCTGGACAAGGAGGCCCTTTGTGTGTCCCTGTTAAGGGGGTGTCTCATTCAGCTGGGGCCTCACCTCTGCAAGGTCTTTCCACCTCTTCTCTTACCCCCTGCAGCAGCCAGAGTGAGATTTTAAGAATGTAAATGTGACCAGTTCCCTGTTTAAAACTATTTCAGATGATCCTCAACACACTTAGAAAATTTCTGAACTCCTGACTATGGCCCATGAGACCTGACATCTGGGCCCTCCACCCTCTCCATCCTGCTCACAATCTTCCTGCTTCAGGGCCTTTACACTTGCTGTTCTCTCTGCCTGGTATACTTTCTCCCCACAAAGTTACAAAGCCAGCTCTTTCTTATCACTCACCACTCAGCTCAAACATGGCCTCCCCTGACCTCCCCCACCACCTACGTCCCATCATTGATTTATTTTCATCATATGCCTACCACCCTCTGGAGTCTTCGCAATGTCTGCCTCTTCTCATCACACCACAAGCTTCTCCAGGCAGGGGTCTCATCAGCCCCTTTCATTGCTATATCTCTAGCACCCAGCCCAGTGCCTGGCACGTGGTAGGTTGGTATTTTGGTATTTTGGAAAACTTTTCAAAATAATCGTCACCCTACTGATGCTTTCCTGTCCCTCATAAGAATAGGCTTTGGTGTCTCACTTTCCAGAAGACCAAGTCACTAGGAAGTAAGTTCTGTGAGGGCAGGGATTCTTTGTTGATTTTATTTACTGTACTACCTCTAGGGCCTAGAGCAGTGCTGAGTGCATGGTAGGCTCAGAGTATGTTTATTGGGGGAAAGAGAGGTAGTTGTCATTTGGGGCTGAGCTGGCTGGAGATCTGGAGCCAAGGAACAATGTCTCTGAGAACTTCCAGCCCCATGAAGGGGACACGGGTGCCCCCCCACCCCCCGCAGCACAGAAGTAGGAACTGGCAATGGGACTGAGCCCACTGTTGGGCCACATCTCACCTGACAGCAGCATGGGGTCCTTGTCCACGGACTTGCGCACCTGGTCAGACTCCCCTGTCAGGGAGCTTTCATCAATCTTGAGGTCATTGCCCTGAATGAACAGGCCGTCGGCAGGGAGGAGGTCACCTGGTAGGAGGAAGGGCAATAGAGTCAGCAGGATCTCAGGTGGCTGGAGGGTCTTGGAACATTCCTTTAAAGGTATGATTGCAAGGTTAAGTTCACTACTGGGGGACTGGCTGCCTGGAGGTCTCAGGGCGTGGGAACCAAGATGGCGCCCATCACAGGTCAATATGCGTCTAAAGACTGGAGCCAAGGTGAATTGCACAAGGCCTGGAGGACTGAGGCTGGGCCCAAGAGCAATCCTAGTTCAAGTGGGTATGTGTTTCCATTTATAAAATGCTCTTGTAGCCTGCTGTGGATTTGGGGTTCAATTTTCTCAACGATTCATGCTTCTTTGATCTCAACTATGGTTTGGGAAGTTGTTTAGGAAGGAACTAGTCTGTCCTCACTATGCTAAGGAGACCCTAAGACAGGCACATTATCAAAGGAAACCAAGCCTCCTAAGGCAGAGTGAAGAGGGCACTCCAATCTTTCCCCCATCTTCTGCATCTACTTACCCAGGGCATGTTTTGCCTAAACTCCCTTTGATGCCATTAGGCCTGACCACTGTCTCCATGGCAGTATCACAGGCCTAGAATGTTTGCTCATCCACGTCCACTCCCTACAGCACCTTCTCTAGCCCAACAACCACTCATCAATAGCCAAATCAGATGTAGGAAATGGATTGCATCTCATAAACCCATTCTGAGTGTTAGTGGTCCTTGGAGTATTATGTTGAGAAGACTTCTGTATCTATGCTTTGAGCTGTGATTTTTTTAAAAAAGATTTTATTTACTTATTCATGAGAGACATAGAGAGAAAGGGAGAGGCAGAGACATAGGCAGAGAGAGAAGCAGGCTCTACACAGGGAGCCCGATGTGGGACTCGGTCTCAGGACCCCAGGATCATGACCTGAGCCAAAGGCAGATGCTTAACCTCTGAGCCACCCAGGTGCCCCTGAGCTGTGATTGATTAGTAACATCTGCTACAGGTGGAGGTTTTTGAGACTAGTAACACATGTGCCATGGATTTGCCATTTCTGACTTTAAGTGGATTCTGGAATCCTACCTCCTTTAGGGAGTAGCCTTCTACCTCCCAAAGGATCTCAGAAGATATCTTGGCTCAGAATGAGCCTTCAGGGACCAACCCCCTCACTTGGGCCAGCCTCTCTGGGTCTGCCTGCCTATCCTGTCCCACCTCTGCCCAGACACTAGGTCTAGTCCTGGCACTGTGGCTGGGACACTTACCATATTTGACCTGGGCGATGTCCCCAACAACAATCTCAGCCACAGGGATCTGGACCACCTGGCCAGCCCGGACCACGGTGAACTTCTGCTCCTGTTCAATGCGGCTCTGCAGGCCTCGGAACTGCTTCTCTTTGCTCCAGTCATTGAAGGCCGTGACCAGGACCACACAGATGACTGAGAGGAGGATGGCTGCCCCTTCGATCCAGCCTGCCTCTGCCTCCCCTTCATCCTCTGCCCCTCCCTGGGCCGTTGCACATCCTGCAGAGAGCAGAAGGAAGCAGGCAGGGTGGCATCAGCCAGACAGGAGGAGCCCACGGGGATGGATTTAAATCCTAGCTCTGCCAAGCAAAAAAACACTGATCATTAGATGAACCTGATCCAAGTGATTCACTGCATCTGGGTGGCAAGCCCTTTGGTTTCCTGCCTTTGTTCTAGGTGTGAGATCTTGGACAAATGACTTCACCTTGTGAACCTCAGTTTTCACATCTATAAAAAGGAACAGATATGCTCTGTCTGGGGGGCCTATTGTGAGGATTGAACTTCAATGAGGTGAGGTCCTTGGCGGCTCCAGCACAGACCCAGAACAGGAGAGAGAGGCCTAATTCATGAGAAAAGAGCAAAAGTGGGGCTGTAAGAGAATGAAGGTGATCAGTACTGCATGTGCTTTAGGGTCTAGAGTGCAGTTTTGCTGGTGGGCTTCCTTCCATGCTTCCAGCAACCAGGGGGGGCATGTCTCCAGATAGCAGACTCAGGGTGGGGCTAGGGGTCGGGGCAGGATCCACAGTTCCAGGCCAGTCCTCCAACGGGCTAGTTCTAATCCTACCATTGCCCCTGTAAGATCCTGGGGAACTCACTCTCCTCCCTGAGTAGCAATGTCCTCCTCTGCAAAATGGGAGTCACAGAGACCTCCTTCCAGGTTCCAGGAAAGGACAGTGGAAGCTCCAGCCAGGGTTCATGGCATTTATGCAGCCCTTTCTGGATTTGAGGCTCTACTACACGGCGAGGCCACCCACACTCCAGGCTGCGGGCTGCTTCTCTGTCCTACAGTGACTCAGCATCCTACACCCTTGCACCATTGAACCTCCCAGTCTGGTTCCCCAAATGGCTTGATGCCTGCGAGGGCCCCCCTATGAACAGAAAAATAAAGGAGTAGACACATCTGATATAAAGGTTTCAGGTCTGGCCCGTGGGGCACTGAGTCCTAGATCTCTCCAAACTCCTTCACAGGAGTGAAGCAGAACTGCTGCAGCAGAACTAGCCCAGACTCTTCACCCGACAGGCTGTGGTGAACAGCCTCTTCCATGGAAAGTGACACTGAGCAGCATCTGACTCTCCATTGCTGGAAAACTCAGGAGTGTTCCCTTTCAGGGCACCTGGGCAGGGGACTGGACCATTCACCAATTACTTGCACCAAGTACTCATTTTAATTCTCAAGCTGGCCAAGAGAAGTGGTTCAGAGAGGGGTAGATACTCACCTGGGGTCACACAGCAGATCTGGAGTTTGAATCTAGGCCTGGAATCTGATCCTGGACCTGGCCTGCCTACTGTATCTGAGCCCAGTGGCCCCTTCTGGCATGTGCCGCCCTCATGTGCCGAGGATCCATGGCTGACTGTCTGGAAGTCCAATTCAGTCCCAAGGAAGAGAGAACAGTTTTGAGAGACCCCAGCTGGAGGCTGGGGGTCAGAGGCAACATGAGAAGAGGGCCACGTAGTATCAGGGAATGTTTTCCAGCTCCTGGAGGCATGGAGGTCAAGGCTAGCTGGTGGCCTAAGCTTTGGCCAACCCAGAATCATGCAACCCAGCAGCATGTGTCGCTGGAAGATTCTACAGCTTACACTGATCCAGTCACTCCCTGCAGGCTAATAAACAACCACTTCATTGCACAAGGTCCTTGATGTCACTCTTGTTTTCTTTTGGAATTTCAGACTTTTCCAATAATTTTAAATTGTTTAACTGGACCAGCTTTTAGTGCTAATGATCATCATATTCGTGCTAACAATAAGTGACATCAGGCCAGCCTTGAGTTTGAATCCCCGCTGTGCCACTTCATTGCTGTGTGCCTATGACCTAGCTACTTAACCACTGCACCTCAGTTTTCTCATCTGCAAAATGGGGGTGAGGACAGGCCCACAATCACAGGTAGCTGAGAGGACTCAGGGAGGGCCTTATGTAAGGCATTCACCTTACCAAGCACACGTAAACACAGAGCAGAAGCTTGCTTGCTTTCTTTTCTTTCTTTCTTTCTTTCTTTCTTTCTTTCTTTCTTTCTTCCTCCTCCTCTTCCTTCCTTCCTTCCTTCCTTCCTTCCTTCCTTCCTTCCTTCCTTCCTTCCTTCCTTCCTTTCTCTCTTTTTCTTTCTTTAGATTTTATTTATTTATCCACAAGAGACACACAGAGAGAGGCAGAGATATAGGCAGAGGGAGAAGCAGGGTCCCTGTGGGGATCCTGATGTGGGACTAGATCCCAGGATCCCAGGATCATGACTTGAGTCAAAGGCAGATGCTCAACCACTGAGCCACCCAGGATTCCTGAAGGTGCTGTTTCTTGTTGTCCAGTGTACAGGGTGTATAAATGCATTCGAGGTCCACAGACAGCCTTGAATGCATTTGAGTTCCACATCTAGCTGGAGTTCAGCACCATGTGATGATGGGGGCAGGGAGGGGAACAAGAGTGCTCCTCAACCATCATAAGTGACACCAGTGGAAGCCCCAGAGACTGGGAAAGTCCAGTGAACCTTGCTAAACTGAAATCCAGTCCATGGAGATGTGCTTTTCTGGGTTTCAGGGGAGTGACTTGAGATACAGAACCCCAGTGCTTTGCTTTATGGGACTTTTGTTACTCTCTGCCTCTGCTACATGCTTTGTAAATGGGAAGACTGTTCTTTCCCTGTTGCATGCTTCATCAATGCCTTGCCTCCCCCATTACAGATTATAGCAATTACAAGCATTCAGGACACTTAGAAATAGCCCAGGACCATGGAAAGCCTTTGGGTTCTGGAATTATAAAGACTTGATTTCGAATCTAGGCTCTGCTGTGTGATCTTGGGTAAGTGACTTGGCCTCTCTGAGTTTCAGTTTGAAAAGCTATAATGTGGGATGACTTTGTGAGCCCAGAGCCTTCTAAGGGCCTGGCATATATTGGATACATGATAAGTGTGTCTGCTCTCCATTTCCATGAACTACTCTCTTTGGACTGACTCTGGAAGCCAAGGGTATGGTGGTTAAACAGGATTCACTCTTTTCCCTTGACTCCCAACCCTGCCTGTTGCTTTCGTCTTTTCAATACCAAGGAGCCCTTTGGGTCCTTGAGGCCTCTCTGCCAGCAAAAGCCTATTGGTTTTTGCTTCCTTCTAAGAAGCATCTGATGGTCACACAGTGCTTTGGCATGGCCAGAAAGTGTGACTATGGATTACTGGGTGAGGCCTTCAGCTACCAGGAGCTGCTGGACCCTGGGAACAACTCATGCTATCCCTGGTGCAATCAGGGAGGAGAGATAAGGGAGGGGAGGAAAGGGGCTCTGGGCAGGCCCTGCTGAGATCTCCTCTGGGGCCCTTCAGACTGGGGCAAGCACAGGTTCTGAAGATTGTGGCCACAGGGTCTTGGGAGCCTGCAGCTGCTCTCTCTGGACCTGGGGATTTGTAGGGTTTGGCTTTTGTCTGTTTGACCTCAGGGAACCTGTCTGGCCTCTCTGGACCTATCTCTACTTGTCCATCAGTAAAACAGGGAAGCTACTTTCTAGATGGTTACTGGATCCTGGCATCAAATAAAGACCCTCGAAAGCGGAAGAGACACACATATTTTCTAAGCACCTACTATGTGCCTGTCACTCTGCTGACACTCAGACACTAGAAGAGCTGTCATGGGCAGGGAATTGGGCCCAATCCCAGCTCTGCTACGAACATCCTGTGTGACCTCTGACAAGTATCTGGAGGCCCCTGAGTCAAGAAAGCAAACAGGAGAGGGCTATCGGTGCTGCAAGGCTCTACAGCCTGGAAGTCCATCACTAGCAGCATTCTGGACATGACTAATGAAGCTTGAGCCTGACTTGGCGGGCTGTGGTTCTGGCAACATGGAAGGTCCAAGACTCAGAGCCCGGGCTGGGTCCTGGATATCGGGGAGTACATATAGCCACAGAGTACAGGAACTGTACTGGCCCTATGGGGCCAGAATATGTGCAGCTTCCCTCATCTACCCAGATCTTGGCTTGAGCTGGCGTCTCAGCTGGAGACAGGGTGGGGCAGTAGAAAGCACCAGAAGACATGGGTTTAAGATCCATCCCTACTGCCTAATAAGCTGCGTGACCTTGGGTAAGTCCTTCACTGTTCTGGGCCTTGGTTTTCCCCTCTCTAGGATGGAAGAGGTTGCAGCCATCTGTTTGGAGGGCTGTCTGTGGGGAGGCTCCTCCTGGCACACACTAGAAGCTCAGTCCGTGCTCCTACTGCACCCCCTCCACCATCTGCCCTCTGACTTCTAATCTTGCACTAAACTGGGTCACAGGAAGCCACTTACCCGGGTGGCACTGACACAGTCCCATCCCTTCCTGAGGAAATGCAGCCAAGGGATAGGAGTGTTGGCTCGGAAGCCAGAACGTCTGGGTCTGAATCATGGTTCTGCTGCTTCTTAGAGCGTGACCTAGCAAGTCACTTACTGTCTCAGGGCCTCGGATCCTGGCAGCACCTACCCACAGGGTTTTTGTGATGATCAAATGAATTTCTACTGTAAATACTCCCAACTAGTGGTGGCTATAAAAATAGAAGAATGATCGTTATTATTATGCTTGTGCATAAGTTTTATTCCAATAGCCAGGTACAATCTTCTTCTACATTTTCTATGAAATTCCTGCAAAGACTGCTTCCCAATGTGCATCATCTTATAATGTCCTAATGTGAAAGTTCATCCCAGAATTCACTGTCAAGGAACATACTATCTTCCTAAACAACTGTTTTCCCTCCTGGTTGCATAGCTTGAGCTATGCAAGTCATCCTAATTCTCTTTCTGCCTTGGCTGCCAGGAAGCTCAAAGTCAAATTTAAATCCCAATCATGGTAGCAAATATAGTGAGTTTATTTGTTCCATTCCTTTCCTGTCTGACTTTCTATTTGACTTCGTCTTGTGAGATGTGTCCTTCTTGTGTATTTCCTCTCTGGAAAGAGGTCACGCAGGATAAAAAGCAACTGAGTAATATAACATAAAATTGAGGTAGTTGGCCTAATAGACTTGTTTATCTCATTTCTTGGGGAACTCAGGCTTGAGAGAGAGTGAGGGGACAGATGATCAAAGAATTGCGGAGACCACCTTCTCGCCTGGGGGAAATGAGGCCCATGATGGGTATTTCTTGTAAACTATTCACTTTCTATTTGCTTGCTTGAAGTAATGAACATAGTAGGATTATCTTTTTATGTAGGGCATTCATTAAAAAAATGCCAGATGATAATTAATAACAAGTGTTTATAATATCCTACTAATGAAAAACTGGATTATAAAAATCCAACAAAACAATATCTCTTATGTGATCCCATTTATCCTGTAATGTGTGTGTGTGTCTGTCTATCGTGTGACATGGATTTGAAAGACTTTGTCATTGTAAAGGACAGATAGAGTCATCGAGTTGATAAAGCCCTAGCCCTTAGCCTTAGCAGGTGCTCGGTTTCTAGAATTAAAGTTGAGGTTTTCCATTAGAAGTCCTAAGTTCTGACTTTGAGAAGAGTGGGTCTGCTCCAGAACCTTTCTTGGATGAATGGGACAGTGTTTCCTTGGCCCACAGAGCAGAGTCCCCATTCAGTACTCAGGACAGATTTTGGGAAGCCCACTTGAGACAGGGATTCCTCATGTGGGAAAACATATTCAGCGCCAGCCCTTTGAGTTGTGCATGATATTGAACCAACCTTGGGATGGAAACGTGAGGGAGGAGGAGCAGCATGGATGCTGAGTCCTTCTCAAGCAATGTGCAAAGGATATGATCCAAGAGGGGGACTGGAAGGAGGAAGTCTGAGGCAGCCACACTATGTCCTTGAGTGAGTTAATGCACTTCTCCATACCTTGGTTTCCTCATCTTTAAAATGTGCGTAATCATGGCCCTTACCTCATGGGGTTTTAGGAGGATGACCACTCAGCCCAGAGCTCAACACACTGTAAGTGCTCAGTACATGCTCACTGTAGTTATTCTCAGTGTTGGTGCAATCCTTGCATCTCACACATAGGAGAAGTGGGGGATGTGGGTCAGGCCCTGCCTCCTGGGCCTCGGTTTCCCCACCTGGAGGGAGCCTCGGCTGAGCCCCGGGTACCCTCAGGCGTGGCTGGGCCTGCGTGTTGCAGGCTGGGGAGTGGGAGGTCTTACCTTCATTGCTCTCTCCAGGCGGGTGGTAGAAGGACAGCCCCAGGGAGATGATGGCCGCAATTTCCAGGATGATCAGCGTCACATCTTGCAGTGCCTCCCACACCAGCTGCAGGAAGGTTTTTGGCTTCTTTGGAGGTATAAAGTTTTGCCCAAAAATCTGCTTTCTCTTTTCCAGATCTGGAGCGGTGCCTGGCAAACCTGCGGACAGAGCGCAGAGAGGTTGGCCTAGGCGGCCTGAGAGAGATGCTCGGGATCTCAGAATTGGTCCTGTGTGCGGCAGGCCCTGTGGCGAAGCACAGAGAAGGAGAGACAAGGCAGGAAACTTGCAGGGACTACCCAAGAGGCCAGCGCCCAACACGCGCTTCAGGCCCAGAGTGGGCTCCTGTGAAACGCCAGAGACACAATGTAGTGGGGTGAATACCACCACCCCTCCGCATATGGTATGTCCACGTCCTAATTACTAGAAACTGTGAATGTGACCCTAGTTAAGAAAATGGTCTCTGCTGACGTAATTAAGTTAAGGATCTTGGGACGATGTCACCCTGGATTATCTAGGTGGGCCCTAAACCCAACGACAAGTGTCCTTTTAAGAGACAGAGGGAGAAGACACAGACTCAGAGGGCACAGGCCATGTGACGGTAGAGGTAGAGAGGGCAGGAGGCAGCCATGAGCCAAGGAATGCCAGATTCATGAAGGAGCCCAAAGAAGCAAGGAAGGGCATGGTCCCTAAAGCTTCAGGAGGCAGCACAGCCCCGCTGATGCCTGGTTTCCAGACTTCTGGTCTCCAGAACTGTGAGAGATAAACTGCTCTTACTCTAAGCCACCCAATTTGTGGTCCTTTGTTACGGCAGCCACAGGAAGCAACTACCCAACGCCAGGCCCACCCTTGCTCCTGCTTTGTGTTTCCTCTTTCCCTCCCCATTGAGCACAGACTCGGAATCCTCTGCCTGGGTTTGAACCCCAGCCTGTGCCCCCATCTCTCTGAGCCTCACTGTCTTCCTCTGTGATGCGGATGACTGTACCTAGCCCACGAATGGTTGTGAGCATCTTATGAGATAATCCATGAGGTCAATGTTTGTTGAGCACCTACTATATGCCCAGCACTGTTCTAGACACTAGGATAGAACAGTGAAAGACACAGAGCATCCTCCCAGAGGAGCTGACCTCTCAGTGGACACAGGCAACATGCTCAAGTGGTTCCTGGGGGCTGTCAGACGCCCAATCGAGGCTAGTAGTCATGGCTCATCTTATAAACCAGGGGGTAAAGCACAGTCCTCATCATGCAGGGCTGGTACACAGTGACCTTCCATTCCATCCCACCGTTTCTTCACTTCCAGACAATTCTCCCTCACTCACCAATCCGATCCTCTCAGCAGCTTTTGGAGGGTTCCTCACTGCTTCTAGAATAAAGTCCATGTTTCTCAGCCTGGTGCTCTCGATGTGACCCCCAAGCCGTGTTTGCAGCCGCATTTCCACTACTTGGCCTGCTCCCAGCCAGACTAGGCCAGTCCTCCGCTGGCATGGCTCATGTGTTCCTCTTGCCACATGTTTGGTCAGCTGTGCCTTTTCCCTTTCCTCCTCCCAGCTCTATTTGCCTGTCTGTAAGTCCCCTCCCAAACTCACCCACACCACAGTGTGAGTGACCAAAAGCTTGGCAAATCACCCCGGGCACATCTGCGCCTAGAAGAGGAGCCTGAGAGCTAAACTTGGCGTGGTGGGATTCCAGTGCGTGGTGAAGAGAGGCCAGCACTCATCCTTGCTTTTCTCCCTCCTTTGATGCTACCCTGTATCACCCCAAGTCACTGGTGTCACCCTTAACTTTTTCCACAAGTGCCTGGGCACACTTCCTGCCTGGCTCATGCTGTTCAGAGAGCCACAGAGAGACATTGCTTCCGTATATACTGGCAAGTCCATTCTCAGAACGCCTCTGCTGACCAGCACTCCCCTCCACCCCAGGCAGTCAGCAGCACCCTGCCCTCACCCCTAGGTGACCTTCACCAGCAGGGCTGACCTATTCACTGGATCTGTGTCCCACCTGGGTCCCTTGGGGGCAAAGATGGCTTTGCTTCCTGTCCCTCGGGTCCTGGCACTGAGGCCACCAACTACCCTAGAATCCTTCTACCCACTGAATGCACGGGTGACAGGCCCAAGTGTTATGTGTCTGGCATGAGGTGTCATCACCAGGAACGCAGCACAAATGGGCCCCCCACAAGTGGGCAATGTCCTGTTCCTGAGGCCAGCCTAACCCCAGCTCATTTGTGGCTTAATGAGGATAGCTGGAGAGTGGGCACGGAGGGGTTGGGGAGAAGCACACCCCCATCAGACTCTGGCCTCAGTCCACTTCAGAGAAGGGGAAATATGGAAAGACCCCTAGAACAGTACTGTTAGCATGCTGGTGTTGGAGCCCTGGAACATTCCGCTGCTATCGTTATGGGGGTCTAGTGGTTTAATAGCATATGGTTCTAGAGTTCTACCAGTCATTTGTTAGCTTATCCATCCATTGGTTCATTCAACCTGTTTCTTGGGCCTCCACTGTGGGCCTAGCCAGGTGCTGGGTGCTGCATGCTGGGGAGAGTGATGAGAAGGGAACAGTCCTGCAGCTCATGGACATAAGGGCTCAGTGGTCTGGCAGTCCAACAGCCTATGGTCAGGGGTACAGGGAGATAGGCATGTCCCCTGTCTGGATTCTGGGTACAAGCCTCCTCTGATGCTGAGAGTGAGACCTCCATTGGGAGCCTCTAAAAGCCATCCTGGCTGAGACAGTATGGGAAAGCCTAGGGGTGGCTTGTTCCAGGGGTGATCCCACACTGGCCTAGCAGTACAGATAAGCTCTGGAGAGCCAATGTCCTGCCTGTGCAGTAAGAATCAGGAATCCCAGAGCTAGGCTATACCTATTATATGGATGGGAATATTGACTGAGGCCTTCACAAGATCAATCTGCTGGGTTAGAGCCGCCTTGGGGCCCTGAGAACTCAAGTCAGTCCTGTCCTAAGCATGTGGAAATGTTGCCTCTACCAGCCCATGCTGGGGTGGCCATCTAGGTCATCTAAGTAGAGAGCAAACCGGCATGATATAGTGTGATTCTAGGAACTGCAGGAAGGTTCCTTGTCCTCCTTCCTTTGTCCAATTCTACCCATAGTCAACATTTAAAATTATTCCACTTGGGCTTCATTTCTTTAAGTAAAAGGTCCAATTCCTTTAGATTTCCTGGAAGAAGGAAGCCATCGTCAGTTCTGGATACCATGACATGAATGAGTTTTAGGCTTTTTTTCCTGGGAGTGGGTTTTGATAAAAGGAAGAAGGGAGAACTGGGGAGAGTGGTGGGCCTCTGAGGGAAGGGGCCATGACTAGTCAACACTGGCCTGTTAAGGCAGTTTGCTGGGCTCTGACTAGTCAGTTCCTGTCTCTGAGCCTCATCTTGATAGTAGAAGAGTTCAATACCATGGGTGGACCCTGAGGATCCCAGGGGTTCTGAGGTCTGCAGGTCCTGAAGTGGTCCTGCTGGGGATGGTTCACATCTGGGGGCTTTTCATAGATTTGGTATAAATAATGGCTTCACGGGATGCCTGGGCGACTCAGCAGTTGAGCGTCTGCCTTTGGCTCAGGTTGTGATCCCAGGGTCCTGGGATCGAGTCCTGCATTGGGATCCCCACAAGGAGCCTGCTTCTCCCTCTGCCTCTGTCTCTGCCTCTCATGAATAAATAAATAAAATATTTAAAAAAAATGTGTATCAGTCATAATGGCAACTTAAAAAGAAAAATGGCTTCACTTAGAAGCAGCTTAGCAAGCCTGGGGCCAGCCTATCACCTGGGCCCATCTGATTGATTCAGAGAGAGGTGACTCTTCTGAGGGTCTGTGATTCAAATGTTCTGGAGTCTACAGGGTGACCAGTTGAACACACGAGTATTCTCCAGTTCTGGGAGTTTGGTCATGGCTCAGGGGTTCTGTCGTCCAGGCCAGGCATTGAGATCCTGGGTCCTAGGACAGAGCACAGGGCAGGGGTTGCAAATCTGTACAGCTGTGGGACTGATCAACTTTTGTGAATGAGTGAAGTGCGTGGGCGGGAGGCAACTGGGAGTAGTGGGGACTGGGCCAAAGTGAAGAATCCCAGCCCGTCTTAAGGGGCCAGCTCTTCCTTAGCTTCTGTGGGAGAATGTGAACCCAGTGTGGCAGATCTGTCAGTCTTCCAAGAGAAGCTGGACACCTGGAATTTGATGTTAAAATCCCCCCATTAGAAACAGTCCAGGGCCAAATACAACACATCTGGGAGCTAGATTCAACCTGGGGGTTGCTGGTGTGAGACCGTTAAGGCTCTAGGCTGGAGAAAAGGGGAGAGTGGGGATGGGCCAGAGAAGAACAGCTTCTCTGACTCTTCCTCCTCTGTCCTGGACTTCTCCCTCCCCAGCATCATGTCCTGCCCTGCTCCCTACAGGTTTCTGAGATCCCTTCTGTTTTTCAGAAATAACAACTCATGGTTAAAAATATTTGTGCGTTCTGTAGGGCCAGTCTTACTTAGAAACTGCGAGGCAGTTTCCCCACAGCAAACACCCCAGTGTGTACATCCAAGATGGGAACCTTGGGTATTGAGGTTCACGATGGGTGACCGAGATGACAGATAATGGCCATGACGTCTCGTTCACCTTCTTCCTCTCAGCGGAAGGTGGGTCAAGCTAGAGTTGGGGATACCAAGCCCTAAGAACTCAGATGGGGTTTAAATGCAGATGTCACGGGTTCAAATCCTGCCAGTTGAGTGACTTTGGGCAAGAGACTTCACTTCTCAGTGCCTCAGTTTCCCCATCCATAAAAATGCAAGTCACAGTAGGGCCTGCTCCATGAGGTTGGTTAAGGCTTTGGCAGGATGTTTCCCGGTAGGCACACAGTGCTGTGTCTGACACTGGGTAAGGATACTGTGTGATTATCACCCAGTTTTAGATGGTTTGGGTGATAATCATGACCTCTTGGAGAAGGAAGTCTTTGGACAGGTGGGATTTCAGTAATATGGGGAGGAGGTGGTCAAGGTGAGGGCAGGTACAGCGGAAGGGGCATATGAGTGCAGATGAGCCTCTTATCCTCTCTAGACCTCAATTTTCCCACATGTGACATGAAGGATTGGCCTGACTGATGGCTGATATCTGGTGTTTCTGATACCTTGTGTCCAAAGCTACTGGATTTGAAGACCTAGAGGTGGGATATCCCAC